GAAGAGGTTACAATTTGCCAAATTGGCCTAAAGAGAAATGGCGCAACATTTTGTGGACTGATGAAAGTAAGATTGTTCTTTTTGGGTCTAGTGGCCGGAGACAGTTTGTCAGACGACCCCCAAACACTGAATTCAAGCCACAGTACACTGTGAAGACAGTGAAGCATGGTGGTGCAAGCATCGTGATATGGGGATGTTTCTCATACTACGGTGTTGGGCCTATTTATCGCATACCAGGGATCATGGATCAGTTTGAATACATCAGAATACTTGAAGAGGTCATGCTGCCTTATGCTGAAGAGGAAATGCCTTGAAATGGGTGTTCCACACAAGACAACGACCCCAAACACCCAGTAAACGTGCAACATCTTGGTTCCAGACCAACAAGATTGACGTTATGGAGTGGCCACCACAATCCCCGGATCTTAATCCAATAGAAAACTTGTGGGGTGACATCAAAAATGCAGTTTCTGAGGCAAAACCAAGAAATAGAGAAGAACTGTGGAATGTCGTCCAATCATCCTGGGCTGGAATACCTGATCACAGGTGCCAGAAGTTGGGTGACTCCATGCAACACAGATGTACAGCAGTTCTCAGAAACAGTGCGACTACAACCAAATATTCATTAAGTGATTCAAAGGAAAGCAAAATCTTCAAACATTTTCCAGTTTATATAGTGAATGTTTGAGTTTGTAAAGAAGAATACAAACACGGCTATTTTTTTGAACAGTCTAATATTCACTTTTCTTCAATTTTTTTAGAGGAACAACACAAATTTGATCTATTTTTCTTCATGTTTTGATTTGGAATAGAATGTGTCGTGTTCCCAATGCATTTGTGTGGATGGAAATAAAAGCTATTAGAAGGATTTTCAGCTTTATTCACTTTTTTCAACACACTGCTATTATTTTGAATACAACTGTATATGTGTGTGTGTGTGTATATATATATATATATATATATATATATATATATATATATATATATATATATATATATATATATAAATATATATATATATACACATATACATATACACACAGTGGGGCAAAAAAGTATCTAGTCAGCCACCAATTGTGCAAGTTCTCCCACTTACAAAGATGAGAGAGGCCTAATTGGCATCATAGGTAGACCTCAACTATGAGAGACAAAATGAGAAAAAAAATCCAGACAATCACATTGGCTGATTTGGAAAGAATTTATTTGCAAATTATGGTGGAAAATAAGTATTTGGTCAATATCAAAAGTTCATCACAATACTTTGTTATATATCCTTTGTTGGCAATGACAGAGGTCAAACGTTTCCTGTAAGTCTTCACAAGGTTGGCACACACTGTTGCTGATATGTTGGCCCATCCTCCATGCAGATCTCCTCTAGAGCAGTGATGTTTTGGGGCTGTCGCTGGGCAACACGGACTTTCAACTCCCTCCAAAGGTTTTCTATGGGGTTGAGATCTGGAGACTGGCTAGGCCACTTCAGGACCTTGAAATGCTTCTTACGAATCCACTCCTTCGTTGCCCGGGCGGTATGTTTGGGATCATTGTCATGTTGGAAGACCCAGCCATGTTTCATCTTCAATGCCCTTGCTGATGGAAGGAGGTTTGCACTCAAAATCTCACCATACCTGGCCCCATTCATTCTGTCCTGTACATGGATCAGTCGTCCTGGTCCCTTTGCGGAGAAACAGCCCCAAAGCATGATGTGGCCACCTCCATGCTTCACAGTAGGTATGGTGTTCTTTGGATGCAACTCAGCATTCTCTCTCCTCCAAACACGACGAGTTGTGTTTCTACCAAACAGCTCTATTTTGGTTTCATCTGACCATATGACATTCTCCCAGTCCTCTTCTGGATCATCCAAATGCTCTCTAGCAAACTTCAGACGGGCCCGGACATGTACTGGCTTAAGCAGGGGGACACGTCTAGCACTGCAGGATCTGATTCCCTGGCGGCGTAGTATGTTACTGATGGTAGCCTTTGTTACGTTGGTCCCAGCTCTCTGCAGGTCATTCACTAGGTCCCCCTGTGTGGTCCTGGTATTTTTGCTCACCGTTCTTGTGATCATTTTGACCCCGCGGGGTGAGATCTTGCGTGGAGCCCCAGATCGAGAGAGATTATCAGTGGTCTTGTATGTCTTCCATTTTCTAATTATTGCTCCCACAGTTGATTTGTTCACACCAAGCTGCTTGCCTATTGCAGATTCAGTCTTCCCAGCCTGGTGCACGCCTACAATTTTGTTTTCTGGTGTCCTTCGACAGCTCTTTGGTCTTCACCATAGTGGAGTTTGGAGTGTGACTGTTTGAGGTTGTGGACAGGTGTCTTTTATACTGATAACAAGTTCAAACAGGTGCCATTGATACAAGTAATGAGTGCAGGACAGAGGAGCCTCTTAAAGAAGAAGGTACAGGTCTGTGAGAGCCAGAAATCTTGCTTGTTTGTAGGTGACCAAATACTTATTTTCCACCATAATTTGCAAATAAATTCTTTCCAAATCAACCAATGTGATTGTCTGGATTTTTTTTTTCTCATTTTGTCTTTCATAGTTGAGGTCTACCTATGATGCCAATTACAGGCCTCTCTCATCTTTTTAAGTGGGAGAACTTGCACAATTGGTGGCTGACTAAATACTTTTTTGCCCCACTGTATATATATATATAAAAATCAAGATGTATAGATATCTAAAATTTTTTGCACAAATTGTTATATCAATGCAATATGTTTTATAATGGGGGGTGCCTTATGATTTGGTATATTAATTAGAAATGTGGACTATATTGATCCATCGATACACTTTGTTAGTGTTTGTATTTAGCACTTTTCTTCACGGTTTTGCATAGCTATAAAAGTCTGATATAATGAGGAGAGTATGTTACCAGGGTGTCAGGGAGCACGGTTTAATTCTTTGTATCCAGTTATATTGCTTTGGGTTTCCAGAGAGAAAATAGCCTCTTCCCCCCTTTTCTTCTTTTTTTTCAGGGATAGCACCTTGTATATGTCCGGCGGCGCCATCTATAGAAAGGATTTTTGATTGTTGAGCAAAGAGGTGTGAACCTAGTGTTACAGTTTTTTTAATCTACTACAGAGCTTTCAATGCATATATTATTTTTTAGAAGACATGAACTCAGCCATCAAAGCATATCTAAATCTGCATGAAAAAAATGCAGCACAAAGACCCCCCTCCAAGTGCAGTCAGAGACATGGGCTGGGGCATCAAGCATAGCTGGCACCCCATAGCCTGGCAGGCTCTTTGCAGATACGCATGTGACTGTAGTCCAGGTTTGAAGCACACACGTGGGTGACTACACTGGGGCTGTGGGGAGACCCCATATGGCAGCACAGCCACCCCATAAGAAGTGTGTTGGGCAATATTTTTAAGTAGATCTGCAGCATGGAGCAACCTGGAAAGAAAATAACTGCGCATATGTCTAAAACCCTGTACACACGGGTCAAAATCAGCCGTTACAGTAGAAACTGGCTGACTTTCAGCCTGTGTGTACAGCTGCTTGTCTGACAGAAGCTGATCTCACAACTGGCTTCTGTCGGACGAGCATGCTGGAAAACCAGCAGCCAATCCAAGTCCGATTAGTGCTTGCAGCCAGCAGCTGCAAGAGCTGAACGATGTGTTCTGGCAGGAGGGCGGTCTCCCTGTCAGAACACAATAGCACAGAAGGGAGATCGCTATAATAACAGACAGTACAGCGACCTCAGTTTTTGTTTTTTTTTTGTGTTCAGCCCGCTGGGTTGCAAGAAAAAATTAAAAAAACATAACAGTTGTACCGAGTTTAACCACCTTCCGTCCGGCCCATGTATATAAACGGTCGGACGGTGGCAGTGCAGGGTCGGGTGGCCGTTTATAAACAGCTTTCCCGGCCCCCTGCTTGTGCGCGCTCCCTGGGAGCGCGCAGCAATGCGATCCGGTGCCCGATGTGTCCTCCTGACACAGTGACCTCCATGCGAGGTCCCGATCATCTGATCACCGATTAGCCAATCAGTGATCACATGCAGAGTAGTAAGCAAGATGTCACTTGTGACATCAGTGCTTACTATGTGTGAAATATCTGAATGATCACAGAGGTCACATGGTACAAAGCTATTCACAACAGCCTTGTACCATGTGACAAGCTGTGACCAATCACAGCTCACTCAGTAGTTCTCAATGGCTGCAAGAATGCAGCTAGTGAGAAGGAGAAATGATTGCTTTTACATCCTTTATGGGTGTAAAATCAATCAGTGTAAAAAAAAAAAAAATCTTCATCACCCCCAAGTAGTACAGTGTCACCATGGTGACACTGTACTGCTAGGGTGACAGAATATAAAAAAAATAATAATTAATAAATAAATAATATAAAAAAATTATGTAAAAAAAAAGTTTAAAAATTATAATTTTTGGTTAAAAACTAATTTGGGATTTTTTTTTTTTATTAAAAATATAACGGAATAAATTTTGGCCAAGATTTATGATTAAATAATATTTATTTGCAAAATTTTATAAGAAAAGTTTTTTTTCAAAATTTTTGGACTTTTTAATTTACATAGCAAAAAAAATTAAAATCCCAGTGGTGGGATAAATACCACCAAAATAAAGTTTTATCTGTCTCAAAAAATGCTAAAAAATTCATATGGGTACAGTGTTGCATGACCGCGCAGCAATTATCATTCAAAGTGTGACAGCACTGAAAGCTGAAAATTGCCCTGGACAGGAAGGGGGTAAAAGTGTCCGGACAGGAAGTGGTTAAATAATAGCACAGAAGGGAGATCGCTGTAATAACATGAGACAGTTAGTACAGCGACCTCAGTTTTTGTGTCCAGCCTACTGGGTTGCATGAAAAAAAAAAAAAAAAAAAAAACACCATAACAGTTGTACCAGGTTTAGGTAAGTGAGGCTAACAAAATATAAAAGTTTTAAAGTGTTTAATAGGCATTCAAACACTTTTCAAAAACATTAACAGAACCATTACAATAAGGAAAAATTTGATGTAGAAGACCAGGTAAAAAAAAAATTATTCTATCAGCTCCTCCTGTGTCTTGGAATCTGGTGACATCTGAAGCAGCTTTGTTATTGTGCCAAATTGATTGCTAGTGATGACGACGCTGGCTACGGCCTCAAACAGCAAGAAATATTTCAGTCTGCTGAACACCGGCTTGGTGAAGGATATCATTTCCCGCAGGATGTTTTCTTTCATTTGAGTCCTCAAATAACTGCCAGACATAATACAAAACATACTTCCTTTAGAAATGATAAAGCCAGAAAATACACAAGACAGAAATGTATCTGTAGAGGATACAAAAGTAAGTATTGCACACATACACTAAAGCAGCTACTGATTCAAACAGCTTTGTTACCTTGGCTTCTCTATAGTGAAAAGCTGACACTTAGGGGTTTATTTACTAAAGCTGGAGAGTGCAAAATCAGACTCCCTTCTGCATAGAAACCAATCAGCTTCCAGGTTTCATTGCCAAAGCTTCATTGAACAAGCTGAGGTTAGAAGCTGATTGGTTTCTATGCAGAAGGGAGTCCGATTTTGGACTCTCCAGCTTTAGTAAATAAACCCCTTAAAGTCAGGGTTCGGGGGGGAGGGGGAGATGGGTATGGGACTGGGTTGCTCAAGAATTAGGGGGGAGCTAGAAGTCCAGTAGAATCTTAAAGCGGAGCTGCACACAAAAGGGGAAGTTTCGCTTTAAGGACTGCTCCCCATTAAGGATTGGCACCTTTAGGGAGCGGGTACCCGAATTTGACAGGTACCCGCTCCCACTTCCGGTCCGATTGCCTAGGCGACCAGAAGCGAAAGGTGTCCTCCCTACCTCCCTGTAGTCTTTTGGGACACGTGACAGGTCCCAGAAGACTACAGGACCATTCATGAAGCACAGAGCTACTCGCGCATGCGCAGTGGGTACCCGGCTGTGAAGCCGCAAGCTATCACAGCCGGGTGCCCACATTGAAGATGCCGGCCTCCTGGAATACAAGACAGCCGGTGAAATGGGCTGCGGGGGACACACCGCTGGATCGAGGGACAGGTAAAAGGCTTTTTTTTAAAAGCCAGCAGCTGCAGTTTTTGTAGCTGCTGACTTTTATTTTTTGACAGGGTGAGTGGAACTCTGATTTAACTATACTTTTTTAGTTAGCGTTTTTTACAGTGTACATGTAGGAAAAAAAAAAAGTGGTTAGGAGCGTTTAGTGATTTTTTTTTCCTGCCAGAAAAACGCTCCCAAAAACTCTACAAAAACAATTTTTTTTCTAAATGCTGAAGCCTGAAAAATGCTACTGGCCTAAAATATTGTGCATGGACACATAGGATACCACTATTTAGCTTCTAGTAGCAGAGAAAAAAATGCTGTTAAGAGCTTCTAGGAGCTTAAAAAACCACCAGTGTGCATGGAGCCTTAAAGCGTTAGTAAACTGCAAGCTGCCATAATGTGCTAATATGATTCGCATATATTAATGGAATGTAAACCTTCAGTATAAACTGCACTAAAGTTAACCGAAACATGACATCCCAGAGGTGTTCTATTGGATTTAGGACAGGCGAGCGTGGGGGCCATTCAATGTTAACAAGCCTGCATACTCCAGGAACTACCTGCATACTCTCCCCACATGAGGCCAGGCATTGCCATGCACCAGGAGGAACCCAGGAACCACTGCACCAGTGTAGGGTCTGACAATGGGTCCAAGGATTTCATCCCGATACCTAATGGCAGTCAGGGTGCCATTGTCTAGCCTGTAGAGGTCTGTGCGTCCCTCTATGGATATGCCTCCCCAGACCATCACTGACCCACCACCAAAACGGTCATACTGAACAATGTTACAGGCAGCATAACGTTCTCCACGGCTTCTCCAGACCCTTTCACGTCTGTCACATGTGCTCATGGTGAACCTGCTCTCATCTGTGAAAAGCATAGGGCGCCAGTGGCAGAACTGCTAATTCTGGTGTTCAATGACAAATGCCAATCAAGCTCTATGGTGCCGGGCAGTGAGCACAGGGCCCACTAGAGGACGTCGGGCCCTCAGGCCACCCTCATGAATTCTGTTTCTGATTGTTTGGTCAGAGACATTCACACAAGCCTGCTGGAGGTCATTTTGTAGGGCTCTGGCAGGGCTCCTCCAGTTCCTCCTTGCACAAAGGAGCAGATACTGGTCCTGCTGATGAGTTAAGGACCTTCTACGGCCCTGTCCAGCTCTCCTAGAGAAACTGCCCGTCTCCTGAAATCTCCTCCATGCTCTTGAGACTGTGCTGGAAGACACAGCAAAACTAGCAATGGCACGTACTGATGTGCCATCCTGGAGGAGTTGGACTGCCTGTGCAACCTCTAGGGTCCAGGTATCTCCTCATACTACCAGTAGTGACACTGACCCTAGCCAAATGCAAAACTAGTGAAAAATAGAAAAGATGATTGGGGAAAAAAATGGTCAGTGGCCTCCATCTGTAAAACCATTCCTGTTTTGGGGGTCATCTCATTGTTGCCCATCTAGTGCACCTATTGTTAATTTCATTAACACCAAAGCAGCTGAAACCGATTAACAACCCCTTTGCTACTTAACTGACCAGATCAATATCCCAGGAGTTTCATTGACTTGATGCTATACTCTGATTAAAAAATGTTCCTTTAATTTTTTTGAGCAATCTATATATAAAAATTATTTTTAGATGTACATAAAAACTGTCTGAAAAAGCCTTGTCTTAAAGTGGTTAATGCCCATGATTTTGGAAGGGGAAGTTCAACAAGCTCTTACCATCAACGACTGATGGTCAGTTGTTGGTGTCCACCAACCTTTGACTACATAGTATACTACTGGCTGCCTTCTGCAGAACTCATTTCTCCCAAAATGTATTACAGCAGTTACTCTTCTCTCACGGTAAACCTCATCCACAACTAACTGATCCTTACTGCTGCCACCAAGCCAAAATTCTGCCCCAGAACTCCAGAAAGTATGCTCAGTGTACATGATTCAAATTTGTTTTTTGCTGAAGCTGATGCTAGTTGGGCTCAAAATGTTTGCAGCTCACAATAAGTCTCTATCATGACTGTAATGCCTCATGGGGGATTAAAGAAAAGACAGCCTGAGATCCAACTCGAATCAAAGTTGACATCCAAGTACTGACCATAGCCTGGGTTCACGGGCTCTTGGGGCACATTGTGGTGAAACTTTGCCTAAAATAAATTCACTTAAAAATATAAAGACATACTTACACAGGTACCATCAATAAATTGATGGAACCAGCCAAAACAACTGGAGCAACACCACCCATAATCATACCAACATAGCTGCCTCTCACCACAGCACATGAAGAACAGTTCAAAGAACCTGCAAATAAAGATAAAAGATAAGAACATTATAACATGGCACACAGTTACAATAACCAAATGGCAAAAAAATGTGTGAGTGAATATGGAATTTAAGTGCCACACCATGGCCACTGCTTTCTACAACAGCTCGCTTTCATCCACACTAGACTCACTTGCACCTATACCCGATATAAATTTGCTTTCTTAACATAAATTCCTCCCTCCATGCTGCCAAACAAGCCTACTTTGTCACTTTATTAATACCTTGTCATCCAGTCCTCGTCTCTTCTTTACTTTTAACTCTCTACTTTCTCTACCTCCACTCAGTACCTCACTCACTGCTTCCAAGATTGCAAATCATTTCAAAAACAAGATTGATGCAATTCGTGGGGGTATCTTCGCTACACAGACATCCATCCCACTTAGCATACCTTATACTAAACCTCCCTCAACACTTTCCTCTTTTGACCTTGCTACTACCGAAGAGGTCACTAAGGTTTTCTCAGAAGCCCATCTCAGCACCTGCCCCTGGATCCTGTCCCCTCACAACTACTATGGTCACCCTCTTCTTCCATCCTATGCTCCCTCACTCACATCTTCAATCTCTCCCTCTCTAACGGTGCCTTCCCCTCCCCTCTAAAGCATGCGCACATCACTCCCATACTTAAAAAGCCCTCCCTGGACCCCATCAACCTGAAGAACTTAAGACCCATCTCCCTGCTCCCATTTACCTCTAAAGTCTTAGAACGTTTAGTCTACAATCGCCTGAGCTCCCACCTCACTGACAACAACCTTCTTGACCCTTTACAGTCTGGCTTTCGCTCACTCCACTCCATTGAAACTGCCCTACAAAAACTCTCTAATGATCTACTAACTGCTAAAACCAATGGCCACTACTCCATACTCTTACTACTTGACCTCTCTGTGGCTTTTGATATGGTTGACCATCCCTTCCTCCTCACAAAACTCCACACTCTTGGCCTCCGTGACTCTGCTCTCTCCTGGTTCTCCTCCTACCTATCGCAGCGCTCCTTCAGCGTTCCCTACAACTCTGTCTCCTCCGCTACACTCCCTCTTTCTGTAGGGGTTCCTCAAGGTTCTGTCCTTGGACCCCTTCTCTTCTCAAGCTACACCTTCTCCCTTGGTCACTTGATAAACTCCCATGGCTTTAAGTACAATCTCTATGCTGATGACACACAAATCTATCTTTCTACCCCTCAACTCACCCCTTCAGTCTCCTCTCGCATTACTAACCTACTAAGCGACATATCGGCATGGATGTCACTCCACTTCCTCAAACTCAATCTTTCCAAAACTGAACACTTAGCATTCCCTCCAGCCTGTGCTCGCTGCTAGACTCATCCACCTTACTAACCATTCAATATCTGCCATCCCTCTCTGCCAATCCCTCCACTGGCTTCCCATTGCCCAACGAATAAAATTAAAAACATTAACAATAACATATAAAGCCATTTATAACTCTGCCCCAAATTACATCACCAATCTTGTCTCCAAATATCACCCAAACTGTCCTCTGCGCTCCTCACACAACCCTCCTGCTCTCTAGCTCCATTGTCTAATAATGGAATCTTCTATTCCTCCTATCAGTTCATTCCCCACAGTTATTACCTTTTGTACCACTAGCCCCTCCCTCTTAGATTGTAAGCTCCAAGGATCAGGCCCTCCTATCCCTCTTGTATTGAACTGTATTGTTACTGTATTGTCTCCCGTTATATTGTAAAGCGCTGAGCAAACTGTTGGCGCTATATAAATCCTGTATAATAATAATAATGAAAAAGAAAGCTCAGGTTGAATGTTTATTCTAAGGACTAACTGTTTACAAAGCCAACTCACTGCATTGTAACTGGACTTGAATATTAAGGTGTGGCACTTCAATTCTAGATTGAAAACCCAAGGTGATCTTTAGATTCTGTACATTTTCACCACCCCCATACTAATGAATGAAAATACTATAAAAAATACTAAAAAAAAAAAAAAAAATAGAGATTCAGTACTATTAATCCACTTTCTCAAGAGAATACACTGCATAGCAGTCTGCAACTTGGCTAAATGTAGAAAGTGTTTTGGTTTTTTTTTTTATTACCTTTATTGGCAAAAAGACAGCAGTGTGAACCCCAAAGTCATAGAGGTGGGTGGTACCCAAGCTGAAATCTGTTCAATAGGCTGACCTCACAAATGTGCCAAGGTCCACTCTAATCAGCAATATGCAGAAGTTTCTAGGAGTTCCTTGAATAGTAAGCAGTAATCTCAGCCACCATTGACACTCCGAAGAGCCAACTGCACATAACTAATGGAACTTATCTGGTTTCTCAGGAATGGAACCACTGGCACAAATGATCATGGCTGAACATTCTATCCACTGATCATCAATGTAAGGAACATCTTTCCCACAGAGCTCCTAAGTATGACCACCAGTGTAACATGGCATGAATGCCACTGACTACCAATGTAAGGAACATTAGTCCCATGAATCTCCACAGTACAGGAACTACAAAGACCACCAGTGTGGTGTGGTTCTTGCACTGTGAACTGTAGATATAATTTTTAGCAGGAGTTCCCTGGGACTTGAACATTTTTTTTATGGGTTCCTCCATGGCAAAAAGGTTGAGAAAGGCTGTCCTCGGGTGATGATGCTGCTTCTGCAGAGGAACAGACTCCATGAACTTTGTCAGCCTAGGACACAAAGTTCCTTTACCAGCAGGATCAATGGATAAAGAACAAAGACAAAAAAAGCCTGCAGTGATGTAGCAACGCTCAACAGGATACGCTATCAGGATTTAAATTTTTGGGTTGGGTGGGAGGGTTTGGATACATTTTAAATATTTTTTTTTTTATTGCAACTAGGAGTATTGGCATTTGATTCGTATTGCACTGTGGTCTTTTACTACACCTCAGCACTAGGATAGGGAGGATCAGCATTTACAGACAATCAGGTGCACTGCATGCCGTTGGGCTGACAAAGAGATAACCTCAACAGTCTTCTGTTACTCCCTGACTGTCCACTTACAGGATGAGGGTAGGGAGGTGACCAGGCTTTACTGCCGTAAGGAACTACCAGGTCACCATAGGACCTTGTTGCCTGGCTGGACGGAAATACAAATCAACTGGCAAGTAAAGCAACTCCCCTATATTTCAACTATGTATTTGGCAGTCTGCCTGTAGTTCTACTTCAAGTATATGCAACTGAAATAAAGCATAAAATATTAAAAGTGTAGTTTGCTATATATTATGGATGTGTTCTTGGCCCAGCAGGCAATGAAACAGGGAAGGGAAACAGCACAGTTACAAAATATGACAAGAGTTTTGGTGGATGGGGCTGCTCAGGAAAGCTTACAATCTAAGAGAGAGGGACAAGTGATGCAAAAGGCCTGTGTGGGATGAGCTGCTCACTCAGCCTACTGTTCGGCCCCCTCTGTGTACATACAGCACCCTTTAATAATGGAAGTTGGGAAGAACCTGCTCACAGCCTAGGATGTAATCATACACTCAGTACAGAACAGGCCCCAATGACAGAAGCCTTATATTTAGTAAATGTAACCTACAGTTGCAAGAAAAAGTATGTGAACCCCTTGGGATTACGTGGAGTTTTGCTTGAATTGGGCATAAAATGTGCTCTGAACGTCATTTAAGTCACAACAATAGAAGAACACAGTCTGCTGAACATAACACTACACAAACATTAGATGTGGCCATAGTTTAATTGCACATAACATGTAAACATTCACAGTGCAGGGAGGAAAAAGTATGTGAGGCCCTAGCTTAAGGACTTCTCCCAGAGCTAATTGGAGCCAGGAGTGAGCCAACCTTGACTCCAATCAGTGTGATGATATTGGATGTGTTGCTGACAGCTGTCCTGCCCTTAAAAAACACACACCTGTTTTGGGTTTACTGGTTTCAAGAAGCACTGTCTGATGTGAACCATGCCTCGCAGAAAAGAGCTCTCAGAAGACCTACGATCAAGAATTGTTGACTTGCATGAAGCTGGAAAGGGTTACAAAAGTATCTCCAAAAGCCTTGATGTTCATGTGTCCACGGTAAGACAGACTGTCTACAAATGGAGAAAGTTTAGCACTGTTGCTACTCTCCGTAGGCGTGGTCGTCCTGTAAAAATGACTGCAAGAGCACAGCGCAGAATGCTGCATGAGGTAAAGAAGAATCCCAGAGTGTCAGCTAAAGACCCACAGAAATCTCTGGCACATGCTAACATTTTTGTTGACACATCTACAATAAGGAAAACATTAAACAAGAATGGAGTACATGGGAGGACACCACGGAGGAAGCCATTGCTGTCCAAAAAGAATATTGCAGCACGTTTGAAGTTTGCAAAAGAGCACCTGGATGTTCCACAGCACTACTGGCAAAATATACTGTGGACAGATGAAACCAAGATTGAGTTGTTTGGGAAGAACACACAACACTATGTGTGGAGAAAAAAAGGCACAGCACACCAACATCAAAACCTCATCCCCACTGTAAAACATGGCGGAGGGAGCATCATGGTTTGGGGCTGCTTTGCTGCCTCACTGCCTGGACGGATTGTTGTCATTGATGGGAAAATGAATTCCAGAGTTTATCAAGACATTTTGCAGGAAAACGTACGACCATCTGTCCGCCAACTGAAGCTCCGCAGAGGATGGGTGATGCAACAGGACAATGACCCAAAGCATACAAGTAATTCAACAAAACAATGGCTGCAACAGCACAGAATACGCCTTCTGGAGTGGCCCAGTCAGAGTCCTGACCTCAACCCGATTGAAATGCTGTGGCATGACCTTAAGAGAGCGATTCACACCAGACATCCCAGGAATATTGCTACACTGAAACAGTTTTGTGAAGAGGAGTGGTCCAAAATCACTCCAGATCGTTGTGCAGGTCTGATCTGCAACTACAGGAAACGTTTGGTTGAGGTTATTGCTGCCAAAGGAGGGTCAACCAGTTATTAAGTCCAAAGGTTCACATACTTTTTCCTCCCTGCACCGTGAATGTTTACATGTTATGTGCAATTAAACCATGGCCACATCTAATGTTTGTGTAGTATTATGTTCATCAGACTGTGTTCTTCTATTGTTGTGACTTAGATGACGTTCAGAGCACATTTTATGCCCAATTCATGCAAAACTCCACGTAATCCCAAGGGGTTAACATACTTTTTCTTGCAACTGTAGTATATTGGCATGTGTGAGAAAGTACGGAACAAATGTATAAATCAAAGTGTGGCTTTTCATTTTTTAAAAAATAAAACCTTGTTATACTTACCTGCTCTATGTAATGGTTTTGCACAGAGCAGCCTCGATCCTCCTCTTCTTGGGTCCCTCCCCCTGCTGAGTGCCCAGCAAAGCAAGCTGCTTGCTATGGGGGCACTTGTGCCCCAATGCTAGAAGCCTTATGTTTAGTAATTGTAACCTAGTATATTGGCATGTTTGAGAGAGTGTGGAACAAATATATAAATCAGAGTGTAGCTTTTTATTTTTAAAAAATAACAACCTTGTTACACTTACCTGCTCTATGTAATGGTTTTTTCACAGAGCAACCCCAATCCTCCTCTTCTCAGGCCTCCCCCCGACGGTGGTTCCTGGCTCCCTTCCCCCCTGCAGAGTGCCCACCAAAGCAAATTGCTTGCTATGGGGGCACTTGTGTGTGCTTACTATCCAAGCCAGCTGTTTGTGCCCATAAGACACACAAAGCTTGGTTTGGCCCCACCCCCGCTCCCTCCTCACTGGCTGTGATTGACAGCTGCTGTGTCTGATCCAATGAGGAGAGAAAGAGCCAAGAGAGCCTCTGCTCTTGCTCTTTTGCACATCACTGGATTGAGATTGGGCTCAGGTAAGTATTTGGTGGAGGGGAGCTGCTTGCAAAAGTATTTTTACCCTAACGCATAGAATGTATTAAAGTGGTTGTAAACCTCAAACAGACATGAATAATGAACAAAGCATATCGCTCTTTAGTGTGTACTTGTCTCAATCCAGAGAACTAAGTGTCATTTCTGTCTGCTGCCTCATTCCTCTCCTATCAGCATGAATCACTTCTGAAATGTTTTCCTGACACCAAGAGGAAAATAACGACAGGGGAAGGACTTCCAGCAGACTGACTACCTTATCTTTGATCCTTTGTGCTGGGGGGGGAGTGGTGGGGTGTTTTCCCTCCATTTAACTCTCAGAGCTCTACTCACTGAGCTGCAGCTCTCAGCCCCCCCCCCCCCTCCTTTTTTTTTTTTTTTTTTAACTCTTAGACAAGCTTTAAAAATTCAGCACTTTAAACCAGGGTGGATAAAAATCAATGATTTTTTTTTAAAAATAATAAAAAAAAAAAAAAAATCGGATTTAATTTAAATCAGATTTTTTTGATTTAAATCAGACTGTTTTGAATAAAATGCTTTTTGGAGGAAAATATATTACCATCCAAAGGTTATTCCATCATGAAATAAAGATTAGTTTTTTAATTATGTAGAATAAGGCTGTATATGTTTAATGTTTTTGGTAAATAAATTCCATGAATCCATTCACAATGTCATGCTCTTCCAGAGGTTTTTGTAAGATTATTGGGCAGTTTCTCTGCCTACAAGATATTATCACAGATGATTGGTTTACTTTTGCAGTTCTCAAAACTGAATTTGACTCAGCGGAGATCACATGCCTCTTCTTCACAGCAAAAATGTTATAACATGACAGAGTTAAGAAAAAGACCTTCATCCTAACTTCTACAAACCTATGAATACAGAATCAACCCCTTCACTGCTAAGTTTCAAGAAGTTCAGTGAATAGAATAGAAACAATATTTTTCTGATTGTTTGGAGTGGAATAGATCTGCACAAGAAGAAAGTGAAACTAAGTGTGAGGAGGAAGGGGCTGACAGTCTAAGTTTCTTAAAATATATATATTTTCTTTAGCCAAATTAGTTACCAAACATGGATGTTTAAGCAAATCACATATGCTGGAATGTTATTGTTTCAGTTGAAAAAATCTATTTACATTGTTATTATTAAGGTAATGATTATTTTTCTCCTTCCTAAGTACAACAGAAAAGTTGTCCAAATATGAATGATTAACCTATTAAACTGGGGATAAAAAAACTAATATGAAAAGTTATTCTAAAAATCTTCATCTACTTGCATATTAAAGTTATACAGCAAGAATTAGTCTTTATGTAGAAAACTAGGATTTAAATCAAGCCTTACTGACTAGTGATTTAAATCGTGATTTAAATCAGTTTGATTTAAATCAAATCCACCCTGCTTTAAACAGATGTACAGAAGACTGCAGATAAACAGGTACAACCCACGTAGCAGGATTTGTTTCATCTCTGTGTATCACCTGAGGCCAGTCACTTCACTGGGTATACGTAAGAGTTTACAACTTCTTCTGCTTTTGGAACCACTATAGGGGAAAAAAAAGTTTTGTCATCACTATCACCCTCTCTGTGTCTGTGCTCAAGCATTGCGCCACCTACACCCCCCCCCCCCCCACATTGTCAGTCCTCTTCAATGCTGTGCTGCAAGACTCTTCCAGATAGAATGATGCCCAGAGTCATTCAACCAGCAATTTGCAATCCCAAGGCTTCATGGACACACCCACTAAGGGTGTGTCATTCAGCCAGCCATGGCATCTTCCATATTACTATCCTCATAGATTCCAATAAAATGAAATAAATAAACCTTACGACATGTTTAGCGTGTGAACGTCACAAACCTTCAATGAGGGGCTGGGTTACGAGCATTTCATGATAGAGAGTGGTGAAAAAGAAGGGGACTGCAGTGACTGGTAAACAAGACAGCAGGTAATATTTCCGGACTTTCAGCGTTCTTCTGAATAAGTTGTGAGCCATCAGCCCGCACGCTAATGCATTTGAACCAACGAACACAGATCCGTAATCAAAGCAAAACCTGCAAAGGAATTAGCAAAGTTAAAGCAGCTCTGTTGCTAAAATGAAAAAAGCAATAAAGCGCCTGTTCTCTGCCGCACTGCGGACTTCCCACCATCGAAGGTATCTGCATGTTCAACCTGGAGATGAGCTTTATTATAAATAATATGGAGGCAGCCATTGCTCACAACATATGAGGGCCGTGGTTTATATCTAGCTTTGCTGCACAATGCTTGTGCCATGCCAATTCTATCTCACTGCAAGTCTTGCATAAAAAGTCTGCCTAAAAAAACTGCACTCTCTAACAACATGAAACAGCCACAGTGCTCCTGGCCACCAGAGACCATGTGATCTTTGCTTAGGCTTCAGGACACACAAGAGATGAAGCATTTTCTTTTTGCTGCCGTGTTCCCTTCTGATTCCAGAAAAGGGAGTTTTTTTGGGTTTTTTTTTTTTAAGTGGGACCTTAAAGCGGAACTCCATCCAAAAGGGGAAGTTCCAATTTAAGGACTGCTTCTTAGCTCCCCATTAAGGAATGGCACCTTTTGGGGGGGCAAGGGCGGAGCGGGTACCTGACTTTGACAGGTACCCGCTCCCACTTCCGGTCCGATCGCCTAGGCAATCGGAAACGGAAGGTGTCCTCCCTCCCTGTAGTCTTTTGGGGACACGTGACAGGTCCCAGAAGACAACAGGACCAGTCATGAAGAGCAGCTCTACTCACGCATGCGCAGTGGGTACCCGGCTGTGAAGCCGCAAGCTGTCACAGCCGGGGTGCCCACACTGAAAATGCCGGCCTCCAGGAATACAGGACGGCCGTGAAACGGGCTGCGGGGGACACACCACGGGACCGAGGGACAGGTAAGTGGCTGTTTTTTTTAAAAGTCAGCAGCTACAGTTTTCGTAGCTGCTGACTTTTATTTTTTGACAGCGAGAGTGGAACTCCGCTTTAATTAAATAAAAACAATAAAAAATTGTAAAAAGCCAAGTTTTATTTTTTAATGCAGGAGAGATATACTATGTACACTCCACAAGCTGACTGTTGGCTTTCTGATGAATATCATTGGACGGTTATATGGCATACAGTGGAACCCGCAAGGCATGTCACCAGATGGAAGGAAGGGAGACCAGTGAACATCCATTCACTGATCTCTCCTAGTTGCAAAAAACCGGAAGTGATGTGTATAATGTCACTTTTGGTTTCTGTCACTTTCCGTGGCCGCTACTGTTCTGCTTTCCATTAGCTTCAATGGTAGGCAGGGGAGATACCAGGTCTTACCCACTCGCTGACCACGCACTGTAGCTTTACTGCTACAGTGTGGGCCGGCTGTGCAAAACCACGTATATATACATGTGATTTTACTTTTGCAGGTAGGGGGCATGCGCACGCACCTGCCTACCCACGGTGTCATTGGCTCCCTGACATGCCGATCAGCAGGTCCCGTCCGGGAACCACCGATTGTCAGTGCTAGTGACAGGAGCGAGATCTGTGTTTGTAAACAACACAGATCTCTCTACTGACAGTGGGGATTTGCTAATTTTGCTGTAAAGCAGGGAGGCAAAAACTGTCACCACCTCCCCTAGTAAAACAGTACATATAGTTTGGCATACAGTTAACCCTTTGATAGCCCCAGATGTTATCCCCATCCTGCCCAGTGTCATTAGTATAGTGTCAGCCATGGTTGACAGTCATGGTTTAATGGTTGAACTAGAATGCCTATTTTCTTTTTTTCAGCCAGACTAACTATGTAACTATGTAGCCAGTGTCAGAATGGCCGTGGGTACTATCACAGTCCCGTTATAAGTCGCTGCCATTACTAGTATTAAAACAAACAATTCCACTATAAATACTGTCATTTGTAGACGCTATAATTTTCATGTAAACCAATTAATATATACTTTTTGGGTTTTATTTTTTTTACCAAAGACGTGGCAGAATACATTTTGGCTTAAATTTATGAAGAAATTAGATTTTTTTTTTTATTTTATTATTGGATATGTTTTATAGCAAAAAAAAAAAAAAAAAAAAAAGATTTTTTTTTTTTTAAAATTTCGGTCTTTTTTCATTTATAGCGCCAAAAAATAAAAAACCCCCTGTGGTGATCAAATGCCACCCAAAATCTTTTTTTGTGTGAAAAAAAAAAATTATATAAATTTAATTTGTGTACAGCGTTGCATGACCACACGATTGTCAGTTAAAGTAGCGCAGTGCAGTAGAGCAAAAAATGGCTTGGTCAGGAAGGGGGGCAAATCTTCCGGAGGGCAAGTGGTTAAAGATCCCTGATGTCTCGTTGAAAATAATCTGTCACAAATAGTTTATGTCACATAATGGACTTTTGATATGGGATATAAATAACATTTTTGTGAAAAAAAAATAAAAAAAAAGTTACACACAAGCACTTAGCACCCCCCTCAGGGGCGGACTGACCATTTGGAAACTCGGGCACTACCCGAGGGCCCGGGGGTCAGTAGGGGGCCCCATGAGATGCCCCTGGTACCTTTTTCATAGGCTCTTTTGAGTTTGGACAAGGACACAGGGGCCCCATGATCCCCTATTGCCCGGGGGCCCCATGAGTTGTCAGTCCGCCCCTGCCCCCCCCCCCCCCTTACTGCACCATACTTGGGCATGTAAACCCACACATTTGCACGTGTTGAAGGTCTCTGCTGGATCCCGAAGCCCAGCAGAGTTCTTCAGCACATCTGCGCAAAATAAGAGTGCACTTGAATTATTCAGTAGAGGGAAGAAGCTGGAGCCAGGTAAACCCACAAGGTCTTTGGGGGTGAAGGCCCACTTTAAATCAGCAAAATGAGATTGAAGCTTAATAAAAATTTGACTTACTTTTCAAACCAAGGGAGCTTTTTATAATTCTGCTGCAGGAACTGGCTAATGGATACGGATGGCTGCTTTGCAGAGGTTTGATTCATATCGCCGTCACTTTTTTCTTCCATGATGTCACCCTGAAATAAGCAAACATCCTGATATAGATAGTGTCTGAGCAACAAATCCTAAAACTACTATCAAAGCAGATTTAATAATATAAATAATACACTGCTCAAAAAATTAAAGGAACACTTTTTAATCAGAGTGTAGCATCAAGTCAATGAAACTCCTGGAATATTGCTCTGGTCAGTTAAGTAGCAGAGGGGGTTGTTCATCAGTTTCAGCTGCTTTGGTGTTAATGACATTAACAACAGGTGTACTAGATGGGCAACAATGAGATGACCCCCTTGTACAAGGAGCAACAGGATGAGCACTGCCAGAGGCCTACAAAATTACCTCCAGCAGGCCACTGGTGTGAATGTCTCTGACCAAACAATCAGAAACAGACTTCATGAGGGTGGCCTGAGGTCCTCTAGTGGGTCCTGTGCTCACTGCCCGGCACCATAGAGCTCGATTGGCATTTGCCATTGAACCCCCGAATTGGCAGGTCCACCACTGGCACCCTGTGGTTTTCACAGATGAAAGCAGGATCACCCTGAGCACATGTGACAGACATGAAAGGGTCTGGAGAAGCCGTGGAGAATGTTATGCTGTCTGTAACATCATTCACCATGACCGTTTTGGTGGTGGGTCAGTGATGATCTGGGGAGATATATCCATGGAGGGACACAGAGACCTCTACAGGATAGACAATGGCACCCTGACTACCATTAGGTATTGGGATGAAATCCTTGGACCCATTGTCAGACCCTACACTGGTGCAGTGGATCTTGGGTTCCTCCTGGTGCATGACAATGCCCGGCCTCATGTGGTGAGAGTATGCAGGTAGATATTCATCTGGTCAGTGAAGTAGCAGAGGGGGTTGTTAATCAGTTTCAGCTGCTTTGGTGTTAATGAAATTAACAAATGGTGCACTAGATGGGCAACAATGAGATGACCCCCAAAACAGGAATGGTTTTTACAGGTGGAGGCCACTGACATTTGTTTCCCCACTCATCTTCTCTGACTGTTTTTCACTAGTTTTGCATTTGGCTAGGGTCAGTGTCACTACTGGTAGCATGAGGAGATACCTGGACCCTACAGAGGTTGCACAGGCAGTCTAACTCCTCCAGGATGGCACATCAATACGTGCCATTGCCAGAAGGTTTGCTGTGTCTCCCAGCACAGTCTCAAGAGCATGGAGGAGATTCCAGAAGACAGGTAGTTACTCTAGGAGAGCTGGACAGGGCCGTAGAAGATCCTTAACCCATAAGCAGGGCCGGTATCATCTCCTTTGTACAATAAGGAACAGGATGAACACTGCCAGAGCCCTACAAAATGACCTCCAGCAGGCCACTGGTGTGAATGTCTCTGACCAAACAAGCAGATGCAGACTTCATGAGGGTGGCCTGAGGTCCTCTAGTGGACCCTGTGCTCACTGCCCGGCACCATAGAGCTGGATGGGCATTTCCATTGAACCCCAGAATTGGCAGGTCCACCACTGGCACCCTGTGCTTTTCACAGATGAGAGCAGGTTCACCCTGAGCACATGTGACAGACATGAAAGGGTCTGGAGAAGCCGTGGAGAACGTTCTGCTGCCTGTAACATGTTTCAGCATGACCGTTTTGGTGGTGGGTCAGTGATGGTCTGGGGAGGCATATCCATGGAGGGACGCACAGACCTCTACAGGCCAGACAATGGCACCCTGACTGTCATTAGGTATCGAGATGAAATCCTTGGACCCATTATCAGACTCTACACTGGTGCAGTGGGTCCTGGGTTCCTCCTGGTGCACAACAATGCCCGGCCTCATGTGGCGAGAGTATGCAGGCAGTTCCTGGAGGATGAAGGAATTGAATACCATTGATTGGCCCCCACGCTCACCTGACCTAAATCCAATAGAACACCTCTGGGATGTCATGTTTCGGTTAACTTTAGTGCAGTTTATACTGAAGGTTTACATTCCATTAATCACTGCGCAACATAAAAACATAACATGCAACATAAAAAATTGGAATTACCACTATTTTATTCCTAGGGTGTCTGATTTCACAAAATTGTTTTGGGACATTTAACTAATCTTTAGGCCTACAATGATTTTTTTTTTTTAAACGAGTGTAAGGAAAAAAAAAATGTGAAAACCAACTCTGGCGGTGAAAGCATTAGAAGATACAGGAACAATATATTATCAAGGGATATATAGCTCTACTTTCAAGTTGAAGGCACACTAAGCCAAAAACCAGCTGTAGGCCAGTCCCTAGTATACAACACTTCCAACACCAGACATGGCCCTGCTGTAGTCAAGCTGTATAAAAAACAATGGCCAAATACACATACGGGGAGAGAGCTGTGTATCTCAATTGACTGAGAAAGATTATACGGTAAGTACATTGTGATAGACCCAACCAGGACAGGGGCTTTGCTTTTGGAGGGGACTGCAGGCTAGCCTCCTGCCTACGGGCTCTGGCGTTTGAGGGGGCGCTATTCTTTGGGAGGTGTGTTCCTGGGGGGACCTTTTGGAGTAGTTTTACTTCGGATTCAATTCGATGTCTCCAGTGGTGTATTTAAGTTTTGTGCAGCCCTAGGCAACACAAAAAATCTCTGTGCCCAAACCAGCATTGACTGCTTCAACACTCCCCCTAGGTTCACATCTGTGCAGGAGGTGCCGCTGAAGATCCACACGAAAATCTAAGCAACCGCACCACCTGCACAGAAAATTGCGGACCCGCGTGTGGGTGCCATTAGTTCTAATGCCACGCCGCCGCACTGGGAAAAGCAACCGTACTGGGAACCGAGGTTCCCGTGTGGGCTGCGTTTCCAAAGAAGTGCAGGGACTTCTTCTCTGCGTGTCTCGGGCACGGGAGTCTATTCAAATGAATGGGATCTCGTGCCCGTGCAAAACGCAGCCCGCACGGCCGCATAGATGTGAACCAGGGGTCCTAGCCTCAGAGCAGATGCTAATAAAATCAGCTCAAAACAATCTGAAGTCTCTTGCTGCAATCTGTTTATTAACCACTTGCCCTCCAGAGGATTTACCCCCCCCCCATTCCTGACCTGTCTATTCTGCGACAAGTCTTTGCTAAAAAAAAAAACCCCAATACGTGTAAATTAATTGGTTTAGGTGAAAGTTCTAGCATCTACAAAATGGCGGTATATATACTGGATTTTTTTTTTTTAATACTTGTAATGGCGGCGATCAGCGACTTATATAGCGGATATGCGGTGGGCATTCTGCCACTGGGTGGCAACTGTCACTGACATCCCCAGTGACACTAACACAGTGGTCAGTGCTAATAAAAAGCACTGTACTAATGACACTGGGCAGGAAGGGGTTACGTTTTGGGCACTCAAAGGGTTAACTATTTGCTGTGTGCATTTTACTAGGGAGACATGCTGTTTTGTATATCTGCTGTGTAGAGAGATACAAAGCAGCATGTCCATGTTGACAGGGGAGAGACCTGTGTTGTTTACACACAGGTCTCTACCCTGTCAGCTTTACCTGGCGATCGCTGAGTGCTGGAATCACAAGTCGGGACCCAGTGATCCCTAACCGCCAATAGCAGTGCAGGCAGGGCGGCGTGTATGCACCTCTACCCGGAACTGCAAATCACACATATATATATATATATATATATATATATACACACACACACACACACACACACACGTGATTTTGTGCAGCCCTGCAGCAGTACTTCTGCTATAGGGCGGAGGGAAAGCGGTTAAGGTGTGATGTGCTTACGTTGTGTCTTTGTCCCATTGTTAACCGAATCACCTATTACTTCTGCCTGTTGGCTAGTCCTCCTGGAGGTTCCTACATGATGGGATTAGTCTTGTGTCAACTTAAACTCATTACCTAATCAGTAAGGAATATTGAACCCAATGTTTAATATTAGTTTTTATTGTTCATGTGAAGACTGCCCCTATTTCTGAAGTGTATAAAAACTGAATTTCTGTTCAATAAACAGCTCCAGATGCACCTAAGCTAGTGTCATCTAGTCCTTGGTTGCAGGTGTCAGGCGTTCTGTCACATACATAAAACCCATTTATTGTTCATTGAGACACACGAGAACAGTACATTACCATAGGACGTCCCAAAGCAGTATCCTCATTGGTGGGTAATCCCAATAAGAAGAGAAAGCAAAAACAAAAAAACAAAAAAAAAAAAAAAACCAAGGCTGGTTCTTAGGATCTGGCCCCCACCAACCCCCATCAGGGTTCCATCTTCGGTTGCTAAGACTGCTGATATCCTAGAAACCAATACTGTGCTTCACCAACATTCACAGGACAGAAATTCTTCTATCTGGACCTGCCCCACATCCCACCCTGCTACTACACCTACAAACACACAGTAGGCCATTTTGAAGAGGTAAGCGGTCACTCTGTTAGGTATCCTGACTTAATGGGGCACTGCGATGGGGACACCTAAATTAACCATTTGCAGACCCCCACCTATAGATTTACTGCTACAGGACATCCGCTGTGTCCTGGATCACGCATAAATACGTGATCCGGCACTTCCAGTTTGGGGGTGCACACTTGCCGCCCTGTCTGTGCTATCTTTCGCTACAGTACAAGCCAATTAGTAGGTTCAGGAACCTGCCGATTGGCTGAACGAATGACAGAACAGAGCTCTGTGTTGACAAACAACACAGGGCTCTGTACAGACAGTAGTGATGTACTGTTTTTTTCTCCCTGAAAAGTAGGGAGCAAAAACACCACACATTGCACTGTACACATTGCTAGACACACAATTAACCTTTTGATTGCCCCTAGACATTAACCCCTTCCCAACCAGGGTTATTAGTACAGTGACAGTGTATAGTATTAACACTGACCACTGTATTGGTGTCACTGGAGATGGCAGTTAGTCAGTTCCCGCAAAATGTCAGTTAGTGTCAGACTCCCCTGCCACACTACCACAGTTCCACTAGAAGTCGCTGATCGCTGCCTTTACTAGTATAAAAATAAATTCCACTATATATACCAGTTTGTAGGCACTATAACACTATAGGTTTGTAGATGCCTTCACGCAAA